GATAGCCTGATTATGTGGTTTGAATATACAGAACTCTTGCTTTCATGGTGAGCTTGTGGATATATGTGGATATTTATCAGATATCCGTGGATTATTACACGATATCCAATGGATATCATGTAGGTAACCACACTAGTATTACTAGTAAACCAATCAGAACAGAAGATAATCTAGGAAAATAGACCTATCTAATCTACACATGTATCCTTGTAACCCCCAGATTTTGTTATCTACCCTCTGAATTTTCCCTCTAAAGGCTTTGTAAGTTTCTTACCTTTCTTTTATTCCTAACTTATAGTATTATCCTTACTTTTAAGATGTCGCAAAGCCAATAATCTTAATTCTCTGATTCTTTCTATGAACCTGACTTCTTACAATCAGATAATACACAGCATATTGCTGCTAGTCAGCATACTATCATCTCCACATCAGACTCAGACTTCATTTTCCCACTACCACGGCCCCGCCTTCCTGAGACCCTCACACGTGTTGGGCCTAACTTTCGCAAACATTGGATCCTTTACTCTGATATGTCAAAGGATGACTTTGTAAGATGGTGGCTACAGACAGACTTTGGATTAAAGAAGGAGTTACAGGATACAATCCACTGGGATGGGAAAAAGAGCTCATTATATTGGGAGCAATTTCATCAGGTTGCAGATGAAAAAACTGGCCAGCCTAAGGTTATGTGTAGACACTGCTGCAATGTTCTTGTTCACCTAGGTCATTGCTGAGCAGGGTTATCTCCAATGAAAGCGCACCTTAAAGGAGCTGCCTGTCAGTGTACCGTGCCTAAACAGCAGAAGGGTATAGACCAGCTTATCCAAGACTCGGTTAGTATAAGGCCCTGGTATAGTTCATCAAGTATGCTCACATTACCCTTATTTAGCCTTAGTGTTCTCCTCAAAGGCTATATAGCCAAGAGCTTTTCATGGAGAAGCTACTTAATATGGTTGCTGTTGGGCGTCTTCCCTTTCGATTTAGTGAGCGTCGCGAGCTTGATGAGTTTATTAATATTGTATGACTTGCACCATCAAAGCCAAAACTCCCCTCTAGCAGGACCCTTTGATGATATCTAGAGAAAAATGTCAAAGAAAAACAAGCGACTCTACTCCAGAAGCTTCCACTAAATGGGAAGCTTTCAATTGTACTTGACTGCTGGATATCACCTTTTAACCAGATATTCATAGCAATCACTGGCTACTTTATTGACCAAGAATGGAACTATTGTGAGATTCTTCTTGGGTTTGAACCTCTTTATGGTACGCATAATGGAAGTAATCTAAGCTCAGTTGTCTTGGAAGTCCTCTAAGAGCATGAGATCACTAACCGCATATTATCAATTACTACTGATAATGCATCAAACAATAACACTATAATGGTGAGATTGCAGGAGTCAATCCAGTCATAGGATCTTGGTAGTAATGCTACGATTATCCGAATCCCATGCATCGCCCATGTTATTCAGCTTAGTTTGAATTAACTGCTTGGAAAGATGAAAGTGAACCCAGTTAATAATTCTATAGAAAGGGAATGGTCCAATCAAAGTATGCAATCTCTCCAGAAAAAGAGTGATTTAAGTGGAATTGTGGATACACTAAATAAGGTATGATACTATTATACAAAACTCTTATTTTACTAATAATAAGAAAGGTTCGAAGACTTGCTACCTTCATTAATGCAAGTCCACAGCAAAAAGAGGCATTTCTGAGTCTTTAAACTACAGAGCCAAAGCTTGTTCCCTGCCAGGATGTCCGTACTCGCTGGAATTCCACCTACTTGATGCTTCGCCGAGCTAAGCAACTACAGTCTGTCTTTGATGAATACTGTATAATGCATCAATATCTCCAGTTTAAGCTTAATAAGGAAGAATGGCGCTAAATCGAGTATCTGCTCTGGATTACCCAACCTTTCTTTGATTACACTACTGCGCTCTCTATAACAAAGGAGGTCACCATTCATCTTATCCTTGGTATCTATAACAATCTCTTTGACTATCTCGAGAAGTTCATATGCCAACTTCAACGCAAAAGGGTTTCTTGGAAAAAGACAATGCTCCATGCACTTAAAGCAGCAAAGGCCAAGCTCTCATTCTATTATGAAGAGACTGATAAGATGCATAGTGATATCTTTGTAATTAGCATAATTATTGCCCCTTTAAATAAGCTTTAATTCTTTTCCACAAGAGAGTGGGAGGGTGGCTGGCGTGAACAGTATCATAAGAGTCTTATCAACTATCTTGAGCAGTACACCAAGCAGCTTGCTGATCTACCAACACCACCAAGCACTCAATTATCATCTGGAAACCTATCTCAGATCGAAATGCTAGTTTCAAGCAGGGCCTTACAGCAGGGAATTAGATCTCACTGCTCTCAATCAAACAGGGATAATAACGAGCTTACAAAATATCTTGAGAGTGGTTAGTAGTGATTAATAACTCCATGACTTATTACTAACGTTAGATAACAGGCATAGTTAATATATCACCAAGGGCCTTCTGGAAAGAGCATGAGCACGAGTTCCCAGCACTATCTAGACTTGCTTGGGATGTTCTTGCCATCCCAGCTAGTGGGGCTGGTGTCAAACATCTTTTTAACTCTGCTTGTGATATCTGTCACTATCGCCGCAGCCATCTTAAATCTTGCATGATCAAAGACTTAATGATGTGGATGTATACATCAAAGTTTGAGCTTGAATAAGAGCAGCTAGAACTAATGGAAGAGTATCTTCCAGCTAGTGAGGTTGCTGCTATAGAGGAGGAAAGAGCTCCTCTTCAGCTACAGGCGGATTTTGAGCCTGTCAGTGATGATGAAGAAGATGATGCTAGTGATATTCAGACTGAAACACAAGATCGACTGAGTAAGCGACAATGTATAGGAACTAGGGAAGGGGGCCAAAGAGAAGGACAGTTAGTAGAGCAGTGTTATGAGTTAGATGATGAGACTAAACATCCCTTACCCCAGAATGACATACTGACGCGCGGATCTAAGAGATCTCGGAAGGCTCCAAGAGGGTTCGAGGATTATGAAATTATCAAACCATAGTCACATAGCCTAATAGAAGACTTTCAAGTAGTATCTCCTTTTCTGCAATTTGTCCTATAGTCTATACTACGACTCTATACCTTGATACTTGGATTCTGAAAGGTGACTTTTCTATACACCCCTAGAACGATAAATTACAAACAAAACATGCATAAATTATGTAGTAATGGATTTAGCCATGTTTATATTGTTTGCCTATCCGTAAAATATCTAAATCCACACTGCGGATATCATTTACTATCCATATTGTATCGTTGCAGATATGTGGATATCAGATTACATCCATATCCACGGATATGCGGATTTGGATATGCGGATTTGGATACGTCGTGGATGTTGCCGCAGCCTACCCCCCTCTACTGCTGATGGGCCTTCAGATGGGGAATGGACAGCAAAGACTCCCTATACTACTGCTAAGGTACAAAAGCAGATGCAGCTTATTAAATAACTTATCAGTCGCAACTCTAAAAGCCCGCTAAATGAAGCAGTTCGTCAGCTGGTAAAAGCAGCTGAATCCACCATGCATGAAGTCATTCTATTATGACACCAGATGACTGAGCTTCGCGCAGCGAAAGAAAAGCAGAAGTGGAAGTGTACAGCCCTAAGATCTTTTATTGCTACTGGGGGTGTTTTGACAGGATCTGAAGGTCAGCAACTTGCTCAAGGAGCTATGCAGGCAATGGACTTAGTGGAATCAGTTCCCAGAAAGCGTGCGCCACCACGATGCAGTAACTGCCATCAAATTGGTCATATTAGAACCAGTTGCCCTAGTAGATCCAAATAATTCAAAAATTTATATTAATTTGATTGTGTGGTAGTAAGATATCTCATAATATTTCAGCATCGGCCAAAATTATGTTTTGCTGTCTCGCTCGGTTGGGTGTCTCGCTCGGTTGTGGATTACGTTATTCTTTTTATATTAATTTAACCTTCTCTTTATAGCATTAGATCTTACTACTCTAGAAGAATCTAACCTCTTACCCCTAATATTAGTATATATAGATATTATTAGATAGCCCCTATTCTAGTAGTATAAAAGGTATATTAGATAGCCTGTAGTTAGAAAGAGGTAGACCTTTATTACTTTTTACTTTGTATGCAAAATACTAGTAATTTCTGGACTTATGATGGTAAAGCAGTTTCCAACAACTCTACTAGATGGGTGCTTCCACCATGCATTATCTTCAAAAGAAAGGTCCATATTGAGGGCTGGTATCAAGATACAGCCTTACCAGCAGACTGGCGGATTGAGCTCACCGGGACCCAAGCTCCCATATTATGTAACATTTTTTAATGCAAAAATTCTTCTTAAGACTTTTATTTACCCCTTCTGAAGGTTATTACAAGGCATCGAATCCCACAAGATGTCAACGTCTTGGTTCGCACCGCCCCTATACGGGGATGCTAGTCCTGACTTTCTTCATCCTGAGGTCATTGCCTCTACGCGAGCTACCGCTAGTGCTGTATTAGAGATTGATCATATTCTTTACGATTTTCTATCTGTGGGTGATAATTTTATTACATGTTGAGATATATGCTAAACTTGTGCTTAATATTAGCGAAACAGATTGGACTCTGAAACTTCAGTGTACCAAGATTGCGTTGATGTAGATGAATCGTCTGATGTCGATTCCGACGAGGATGATGAGGAAAATACCAGCTCCTTAGATTCTACAGCTCCAACGCACCTAAGCCAAACGGGCATAGGTATAGATGGGACCAATTTCAGCGGTAGCTCTAGAGATGCTGTGGTTGCTTACGAAGTCCGGAGTGTTACGCTCAGGTACGAAGAGACAATATCAACGTAGTAGCATATGACGAAACAACTAAGCATGGGGAAGGGAAGAAGGAGAGAGTGCGAGAGAACGAGAGACGATCTAAATACATGAGGGATGCCTGCTGCAACACCAGGCATCAAGCACCCACACATGTGAGTCGTCATAGTACGTACAGCATTTACTCCTTCGCCAGTTGCTTCAACATCCAAATTTCCCCATCAAAGATACCTCCCTCGAACCCTTCGGCTCCATCCTCCATTTTCCGGAAGAAATAGACGTTCGAAATCTCAATTCCCTTCACCTCCAACACGAGCCATATAATCGCGCTGTTTTCGCCAACCGCCTCGACTTTGTGGCCTTTCACTTCAGGAAGGCCGCCCAACTTGTCCAATGGACCTGCAATCAGTTGCACGTAGAGCGATCGATCGGATAGTTGAGTGATGGTTCCTTCAGTGAAGAAAGAGATGGTTGGTAGATAGTAGGTGGCCATTTTAGCAGCGCGCTCGGATGAGGTTTTGAAGATGGGCGAAGTGAGGTCGGCGCAATAAGAGAGAATATGAGTCTCGGCGGCGGCGAGGATACTGGCAGTGTCTGTCTTGAGGGCCATGATCTTCTTTTGGTACTGGGTACGAGAGGAACGATTGTTGGGTGGTATGTGCTCCAGTTGGAAATGTTTGGTTGATCTGGTCAACCGTACGTAGGAAGGAGGTTCTTATATGCGACGCTTCAGGTACCAGTAAGCACATTAAAACAGTCTTCCTCCGACGTTCCTCCGTATACGTCGGGTGAGTTCGGCCGGTTATGAGATAGATTAACTGCGCCTACGGGAAATCGACACTACCTGTACCCAGGGTGATCATCTGAATCAATAAAAGAATAAAACCTAGATACATCATGGCCCGAGACCAATTTGACTTTAGTAGGTACCCTCAACTTCGAGTCTTGGGCCTCCCATTAGAGCGTCCAATCACCCCCCAAATCTGCATTCACCAAGCTGTCAAAGAATAGTATATTGCCTTCTTGCCATGGCCACTCACTGCCGTCAAGAATTCCCGGGATGTCTGAGGTCTCGGAAAACTGAAGATGACCATCAGAAAACCGCAAGGCGGTATCCTGACTCCCCATTTCCTTGCCAGCGTAGCTCCCTGTATTCACCACCTTTGCCTGCGGCTCCTGTCGTCCGACAGAAGGTTCCGGTCCAGTAACGGAAGGAGACGTAGCCAATTGGGTAGGTCGATGGAACAAAATGTTTCGGGGCGCATTTGCCCCCAAAACTCTCTCCCCTTCCAGCGCTTCCACGGCACCGCTACGTGCAATTTTGATAGTCCCAAAGAATGGAATCTCAAGGCGCAAGTTCCCAGAGATGTGCCGTCCCTGGAGGAAGCTTTGGAGTGTACGTATGACCGAAATACTCTGATCTCCAACCGACATTCCTGAGCCATGTTGCTTGAGTCTTTCAAAATTCTGAACAACCGTCTCTACAAGCTCAGCATCATCCGTTCTAACTTGTAGGGCGTCAGGGTCCGTGCTCCTATGCGGGCCCAGCAATCCTAACAGGAGAGTGGTTGCCGCCGTGAACACCTCGAATTCGAGCAGATTTGAAAAGTAGAAATTCCTCTGGCTCGCACGAATGGCGAGCCATCTCTTAATCAAGTTTCGGCTAGCATCCAAACAAGAGGTACGCGAATATTCGTATCGACGATCAGTCGCCCCAAGTAGCATGAAGGGTAGGTGCAGTAGTACTGCTAGCTCGAAATGCCATATTTGGCACATGACTCGCTCGAATTGAACAGAAGCCTCCTTTGTGCGGTTATTGAGGATGTTGGTAGGGACTTCCCACCAGGGTGACGGCATTTGCTCTGCTAGTGAATCAAGTTGTTCACCAATTCTCTGAGTGGTTGAAAAGGAATGAGTAGAAGTTTCTTGGTTGCGCGCGAGTATGAGACCGGCTATGTGATATAAATGCTTGTGGTAAATGTCTTCTGGAGAAAGCCACGCAGCGTCGTCGTCGAAAGGGAGAGCTCCCGGGCCCGTTGCCGACGGTACGCCGAGTATGACGGACAGGTAACGTTCCTAATCAGTCTCAGCATGAACCGGCATGGAATGAGGTAAGCAGCTTACTCCTCTCGAGACTTGACACCATAAATGACGTCGCCTAGCCAAAGCCAGCTCCTGGCTTTTCCAGTCTGTTTGAACATACATTCGGTGTAGACCCAGTAGTTGAGCTATCGTGATGGCCTTTCGATAGCAAAGCCATGATCTCCGAAGGTTGCCCGCATTAACCTCGTATATTCCCTGGAGGGCCAGACATTCGACCCCTTCAAAATTTCCAATCATCTCATCATCAGAGGTGACTTTTTGGTTTAGGAACTCAATGATACTGCTCATCATTTCTCGGAGTGATGTTGTAGTCTGGATTGTTTGCATATCCATGTCAGGTGGGAGCTGCTGAATGCAGATTGCAACACAAAAAAGTAGTCTCGCGATCATGATGGGATGTTTCTTTGAGATAGCGCTGACATTGAAAACCATGTGAGCGTCGTTGTCAACTGAGTCTGGTAGATGCGCCATCATATGTTGCTGAACAAGCCACCATCCGTGACTTGATGAAAGTAGGCAATCCACATCTCTCTGGCAAGGCAGCATTGTGGCAAGTTGTTGGCGTAGATTCTCGAGTCTTTCAGTCGGAGACCCAACGTCACTCTGCGCCCTCGAAGGAATTGCCCATGGTGGAAAGAAGGATCGTGAATCGTTCACGCTTCGCTCGATAGCTGAAGGAATCAAGCCACTAGCTCCGCAGTCGGGAATTCTGTCCATCAAGGTTTCGAGTAATGATTCTATTCTGGCCACACGGCGAGCCAAAGCTGATTCCTCCGCATGGTATGTCTGATGGTCATCCACATACTCTTGACCGATGCATGAAGTGCTTCTTTCTAGACAACCAGAGCAAATTGAGGATTCCGGAGATGGAATACACTTCACCTTTCGCCGCTTACCTGCATATTGTACGTTGTCAGATGCACGCTTTGTGGCGGGGTGGGGTGCTTACACTCCCAACAACTCTTCGTCCCTTTGCGGACTCTTTTGCGCCGGCGTTCTTCTGGCATCGGATTGCTCAAAATTCTTTCTTTATGTTTAGATTGCGATATTGTTGGGTGTTTCAAACATTCAACTCAGGAAAGTATTTCTCACTCATTTTCCGCTAAGGGACGTTGGGCTTAACTCGGTCGAGTTCGGCCGAGTTCGGCCGAAAACAAACGAACTCCCAGAGCCCCCTCAGTACAAGATATTCGAAGCTTTAGGCCAGAAGCAGCAACGCTTACTCAAGAAGCTATTTCACAGATCCGCCGCCCACCGGTTGCCCCGTGGTAATCGAGGTCCCATAATCAGGCTCCCGCGGTATACGCCTCGGCACCACTACGTTGTACTGCGCAATTATGGAACGAACAGCGCCGTCATATGGTAATAACCGCATAGACTGATGGCGGGCGAGCACAAGCCGAGCGTTTTGCCGAGTCACATCAACCCAAGGGATCCGAGCTTGTCCAGTTACCCCCTGTAGAATAACTCGCGGACCATGGACCAAGTGAAGGGGGAGGCAGGTGAAGGGAGGAACAACGCCAAAGCAGCTATGGTAGTTAACTAGACTGCCAATGCTCGCATTGCTACGTCGGCAAATAATGAACGCAGCTCTTCACAATGCCAATTCCATTCCCAACTAAGTTGATGATCATGTATGCAGTAGAAGTTTAGTTATTGAAATTCTTCCCTGGAGAACCCCTGCCAACAAACTCTTTCACTCGCTGGTGAGGTCGGTCCCTGTGATAAATTGAGAGGAAGGCTGAACATCCATGAGAATTCCGCAGAATGAGGCACCAACATCTCCATACTCGCGAACTATCACAGTCAACCCTAGAGGCCGCAGAGGGACAAGATGGCCTTATCTGAGCCATCCTCCCCATTGACATCGGAAAAGTAGACTAGATATCCATTTCCAATTTTGGCTCCAGTCACTACGGCCAGTGTACGATCCACATATGCTAGAGGAAGAAATTTGACTGAGTCTCAGCGTCACTGACGGAAACAAAGATCTTCTCTTTGGCCCGGGCATTCTTGATGCGAACTTCATGCTGTTGTCACACCCTGGGATCCGTCTCTGCTGTTCTCTGCTAGTCAACTACTTTGGGAAGGGGTGATATAGTCCCTGGACTATATCCGATACTTGCCTGAGGCCTACCGACCAGGTAGCCTGACGATGCA